AGGTGTGGGTGTACTTGCATCTTATGGGGACTGTTGCTGTCTCCCACTCAGATAAAAAATTACAATCGAATAACCATCAAAAAACTAAAAGGACATGGACAAAAAATACACCCTGAAATCACATAGGAACAGTAACCCAAAAAAAAGGATAAGGGGAGAAAAGAATAAGAAAAAAGGAAAACCTGCAATATCTGGGGATAGGACACTAAGAGAAAAAAGCTAGAGAAGGAAAATAATGAAGGGAAAAATGCAAAAAAAAAGAAAAGAAGGAAAGAAAGAAAGAAAAACCCCAACAAGGAACGGGGTTAACCATGAGAAAAAAAAAAGGGGGGGGGGAGGAGAGAAAAAAAATTTAATCAGGAACTGGGAAAAGAAAAAAAAAATAAAGGTATAAACTAGGACCTTTTCAGTTGTGCAGGTGTGGAGTGTTCTTAGGGTTACTGGAAAGCAGAACCTCTTCTTAAGCCCCTGAAATCTGGTAGAGCGCTGTCTCTTTAGGTTGTCTCTAGGTGCTTGTTACGTGTTGATTTGTTTTGTCTTGGTTTTATGGTTTAATATTTTGGAAAGTTGAAGCTGGTGTATTTTATTTTATTATTGATTCAAGTATGTTGGGTCACTCTGCTGTTTTCTTTGTGATGGTGGAATCACTGTGTGGAATGTAGATATGTGTTTCTTTTTGTCTTAAGAGGGTTTAGAGTGCAAAGCGGGAGGTTTTATGGTAATTGGCTGAATATGGTTTCTTCTATTGAATGAGTGAAGTTATTGGTGGAGAAGGTGGGAGCAAAAGAAGGAAAGCTTGGTGTTGCTAGGTTCAGTTTCTAGATTTTGCACAGGCTATTATTGATGACACAGTTATTTACAAGACTGGGGCTCAATCTCAGGAAAGATTCCTGTTGTTAGGGAGTCACAACTTTCTGCCAGACTCAGGCACACTCAAAGACACTGCTTTCGAGGCCCCTCAGGGCCAAAGAGCTGATCCAAGGCAAATTCCTGGGACCGCACTCAGCTGCGGTTTCCTCCCTCTCCCTGCCCTGTCTGCCTGTGGTGCTGGTGCAATCCCACCAGACCGCTAATGGCTCTGGAGTTTGTTTGTGATACTGCCCACCTGCGGCGCCAAAGATGTGCAAGATTTCAGCTGTGTTGGAGTCAGTGGAGTATCTGCTAGTAAACTGTGGTCTCTATCTGTGACAAAGTTAAATACGACATTTCCCAGTTTGACCCAAGCCACTCAGTGACCTGCTGAGAGTGGAGGGAGTTCGCCCTCCTGGTACAACAGTGAGCTCTCTGCTTGAGTCTTCAGCAGTGGGGCGCATACCTGCCTGCACCCAGGTTACCCAAATTACAAAATCAGGTACTGGAGGCAGATCTCTGGGGCTGCCCACTGGGATATTGAAGTAGTCTCTGGTATGCTGATATAAGGTGTCTTCTTTCTTGGCTCATGGGGATCTGAGGCAGCTGCCCTCGCCTGCCAGTCAGTAACTGCCCCAGGGAAGTTTCCAATGGCCTCTCTTGGCTGCCTGTCTGTCCTCTGCCAGGTAGCTCTTTGTTAAATAATCTCCCTGTGCCTTTCCTCTAATTCTGCTCTTCTGTGTTTGGTGCACTCTGATTCAGTGAGCTGTTCAAAGCACCAAAATCCCTAATTCAAACTGCTGTACCTAGTTTTTCAAGCACTTAGATGCTAGAGGGAAACAGCATGGTGCTTACTGATGAGACTCCATTTTGAATCTCCCCTTACTTATCTTTTTTAATGACCTTTTGCTTTCTTCATGTATGATGTCCTTGACTTTATTACACAATTAATCTTCTGTACAGTCATTGGTGTTCAGTGCATCAGATCAGTTCTTCACATGATCTCTAAGTTTAGGTGGGATATACTAGAGGTCGTACTTTAGCTCTCATGGATTTGTTTTAATTTTCAGCTTCAGCTTGAACTTGTGTATAACCAATTGATTGTCTTTTCTTCAATGTGCCCTTGTCCTTTTCTGACTGATGATATTGAGCTTCCCCATTGTTTCTTTCCACAGATATAGTCAATTTGATTCCTGTATTTTCCATCTGGCAACATGCACATGTATAGTTGATGTTTATGTTGTTGAAAACATATATACAATGAACGATAAGTCATTGGTCTTGCAAAATTCTATCATGTGCTCTCTAACTCTCGCTTTCACCAAGGACATATTTTCCAGCTACTGATCTTTCTTTGTATCCAACTTTTACATTCTAATCGCCAGTAATTATCAATGCATCTTGATTGCACATTTGCAGAATTTGGTCACTTCAAAATGCAGAAGTTGGTAAGAATCTTCAGTTTCTTTTTCTTTGGCATTAGTGATTGGTGTGTTAATTTGACTAAGTTGTATTAACTGTTCTTCATTGTTGGCATATGGATATTATGTCACTGTGGTAGTTCAGTTTGAGTGTCAACTTGGTTGGGCCTGGTTCAGTGGCTAGGCAGCTGGATGTAGTATTCCCCATGATGAGACTGATAATCAACTCTGTGATGGAATCTACTGTGAGCAGTTGAGTAGCTGCCTTAGGGATGTGGTCTGCTTCCTGTATATAAGGAGAAGACTTGAGGATAGTCTCTAGCATATGGCACGCTTGAACCCTGCTTGTAGCCATGTTGTTGTTCAGCAGCCTGCCATGCTCTGCTGACCTTGGGACTTTCAATGGACTTGAATTAATGGCCTGCCATGTGGTTTGGGAACATCGGGACTGTGCTATTTTATTTGTCAACCCAGGGCTTGTTAGCCTCAGTAGCCAGCAACTATCTGAGTGAAGAGACGTCTCTAAATTTCAGTAAGCCAGGTGCAAGAGGCAGAGCTGAAACCAAAGGTCAAGGGGTTTTCACCCAGCCTCTAGAGCCTGGTACTTTGAATTCAGACTTCTAGCCTCATGAACTGTAAGAGAATAAACTACTGTTTGTTCAGCCATCCCATTTGTGGTATATTTTTGTCAGAGTGGCACAAGGTAACCTGAATAGTCACTAACATCTTTATACTTCAAGATAGATCTTGAAATATTTCTTTTTTGATGATGAATGTGACGCCATTTCTCTTCAATTTATCATTAATGGCATAGTAGACCATATGCTCGTCTAATTCAAAATGGCAAATATCAGTCCACTTTAGCTCAGTGATGCCTAGGATATCTATCTTCAAGTATTCTACTTCATTTTTTATGACTTCCAATTTTCCTAGATTCATACATTTTACAGTTCATGTTCTGATTATTACTGGATGTTTGTAGCTCTTTGTTCTCATTTTGAGTAGTACCCCATCAGCAAATGAAAGCCCTAAAAACTTTATTCCATGTCATTAAGGTTGACTCTACTTTGAGGAAGAAGTTCTTCCCCAGTCTTATTTTGAGTGCATTCCAACCTATGAGGCTCATCTTCTGGCACAATATAAGACAGTGTCTGCTGTCCTAAGGTTTTCAATGGCCATTTTTGTAGAGGTAAATCACCAACTCATCTATCCTACTCTGTCTTAGTCTAGAAGCTCCACTAAAAGCTGGCCACCATGAGTGACCTTGGTGGTATTTGAAATACTGGTGGCATAGCTTTTAACATTACAACAAAACTCAAGACACCGTAGCACAACAAACTGACAGACAAGTGGTAGCAATTTAAACTTGTTGTTGTTGTTGGTATGTGCCGTCGAGTCAGCCCCGACTCACTAGTGGCCACTAAATGCTTCAACAGAGTTTTAATGATATATTACAATATGATTCAAAGTGTAAAAGAAGCATTGGCAAAATAGAACTTGTGACTCAATGAAAAATAGAACTCTAAATATTTGTCTTATGTTCTAAAGCAAATATACTTAGTTTAGGAGATAGAATAAAAAACGCTAAACAGTTTTTGAATATGGCTGGCACCTTTAATATAACATGACTTGTTAATAAACTTGACACTTAGGTTTGCATTGTAACTTCTCCATGTTGTCAGGTTGATTCAGAATCACAGAATCCTGAAGAATGAAGGGATTTTAGGGAACATCTTCAGTGCTATAATTTTATACCTAGGGAAACTAAGGATCAAAAATATTGACTACTATTCTTCAAATTACTCATCATTTAAAAAACAAAGCCTAGACTAAGTCATCTACAAGGGATGATAAAATAAGGAACTATATGCATGGTGTATTTTGATATTTATAGCAAAAATTTTGTGGTTATATAAAGAACCTTTGTATAGACTATATCATTCATCTAGGTATTTGGTAAATTTATTGAGCTCCTATAGTATCAGACTTGGGAGTCTTAGTGGCACAATGGTTAAGTCCTCAGCTACTAACTGAAAGGTCAATAGTTTGAATCCACCAGCTATTCTGCTATAAAGATTACAAAGACTACTGAGGGGTCAGTTTTACTTTTTCCTGTAGGTTGCAATGAGTTGGAATCGATTTGATGGCACTTTGGTTTTTGGTTTACTTTGATAATAAAAATTCAGGCCTTATCCTTAATTAACTTATAATCTGTTTTCAGTAGCAAAAATGTACCCATTTTATTCTAGGAACACTGCTAGAAATCTCAACATCTCATTTAACCTTCCTGAATCCTGAATTGTGAATATTACAATTCTTATTTTTACAGATGAAAAACTGTAGTGTGGAGAATTTAGGTAAGCTGTCCACGGTTACAACAGTAGGTAAGACCAGAGCAGGATGACGGCAAGGTCCATGCTTTCTTCCTTGAATATATGGGTTGCAGTTTACTTTGATCACAATCACAAATGATCCCTCAGTCACCTGTAACAGGCTGACAGCTTTATTTTTTTAAGACTCAGCCCAGTGCTTAGGTAGGAAAGTGTATTCCTGAGTTAGTAAGAACTGGTGAACAAAGATCATCCAGGTGTGAAATGGGAGTTCAGAACTTGTTTTCTTGGTTTATTTCTGCTCAATTGTGTGTTCAGCAATGTTCATTAAGATGTTTTAAGTGTCTTCACTTGGATTATAATAACATAGATTTTTTTTTTTCTCTCTCTCTCTTTTTAGGTATGGAAAAATTGTATCCACAAAGGCAATCCTTGACAAAAACACAAATCAGTGCAAAGGTATGTGTAAAGGCAACTGTTCCCTGACCTCTTGTCTGTATTGTTTGAATGGCATCTCCTCCATTGCAGAGGACAGGCTGGCTGCCCAGTGATCATAATGTACAGTATATGGCAAACCTCTTTAATAATGCTGATGGTTTGATGAGTTGTATTTCTAGTAACATTGCTCATTAATTTTTTTCATTAACAACAAAATGAAAATCACAAATAAGAACAAGTATCAAATTGCTTCAGCACAAAACTAAATTACCTCCTAACAGCTTTGGGTTGTCTGACTTGAATGATATCATCGGTGATGCAAATTGATTTCCTATATAAAAATGAGGAACTCTTGGGAAAAGTTTGCCATGCAAAACATGTTTTAATTTCTCTCTTCTTTAAAGCATTAGCAACATTGGTTGATGAGGAATGAATTTACTGATGGGTCTGTTGTGTCTGAGCCTCAACTATAAGCATCTCCTGAGATCTCTGAGTTGGTATCTTATTAAGTCAGACTTTCTGAAGTAATTTGGCTATATATGTGGCTCATGTGTCTTCATGTCTGGGAATCTCATCTTCTTTAAAAGGTTGCATTACATTATTTGGGGAATCTATATGGTCTCTATTGTGTTGCTTAGTTCTTAGTGGAAATTTGGAATGCTTCTTGTAACATATGTTATCTGTTGTTCCTGTAATCCAGTCTTTGTTGTAATAGCACAATCAGGAAGTATGGTAAAGCCAAGATCATTCTAAATATGGGAAAATGCCCCTGTTTCACATTCAAATGTAATGGGCACATGTATTAAGGAACAACACTCATATAATCCAAATATATCCTAACCTACTTGGGTGATGGTAGCGATAATTCAGTAGTTTTTAAAATTTTTTCTACATCTCCTATAAAATTAAGAACATGCTAAATACTAGGAGACAAAGAATAATAAAATATAATTTATACTATCTAATAGTTTAATTTCTAGTTGAAAAGACAACCATGTATATAGACATCCTCATATCCCTGAAAGTACAGTAGAGGTAACTTTAACAGAGCTACACACAAAAATACTGTGAGAAAGGAATACAGAGATGCTTTTTTGAAGGATGCAGTTTGTAAACTTCATTGTATTCATTGTAAAAGCAATGCAGAGTGGATGGACTTGGGAAAGGTTGATGTTCAACAGAAAGTACCTCAGAATGTCTTTGAGGAACTGTGACCAGACCCAAGTAATGAATGGAGTTCTTTGGTCTTCCTTATTCATTGTCCAGCTCTCACATGCATACGAGGTGATTGGAAATATCATGGCTTGTGTCAGGTGCATCTT